TAAGGTGAACCTGGTGATAAGGGTGTGTAAGGTGAACCTGGTGATAAGGGTGTGTAAGGTGAACCTGGTGATAAGGGTGCGTGAGGTGAGCCTGGTAATAAGGAGCACGAGGGTTATGTATATTATTTCAGAGGAGGATCAAAAAATTGGGAATGTAAACCTAGTCGCGAGAGAGTAAGGTGAACCTAGTTGTGAGAGAGTAAGATGAACCTAGTTGTGGGAGTATGTGTGTCAGGTGAACCTAGTTGTGGGAGTATGTGTGTAAGGTGAACCTAGTTGTGGGAGTATGTGTGTAAGGTGAACCTAGTTGTGGGAGTATGTGTGTAAGGTGAACTTAGTAGTGGGAGTATGTGTGTATGTTGAACTTAGTAGTGGGAGTATGTGTGTAAGATGAACTTAGTAGTGGGAGTATGTGTGTAAGGTGAACCTAGTAGTGGGAGTATGTGTGTAAGGTGAACCTAGTAGTGGGAGTATGTGTGTAAGATGAACCTAGTAGTGGGAGTATGTGTGTAAGATGAACCTAGTAGTGGGAGTATGTGTGTAAGGTGAACCTAGTAGTGGGAGTATGTGTGTAAGGTGAACTTAGTAGTGGGAGTATGTGTGTAAGGTGAACTTAGTTGTGGGAGTATGTGTGTAAGAAGAACCTGGTAGTAAGAGTGTATCCATGTGGTTTATATATAAAAAGTAATATAAAAGTATGCTGGAAATACTGCTTATTATTTCAACACCACCTAAAAAAAAAACAACTTGTATATCTTTCACTTTCAAAACAATCTACAAGTGGAAGTTATAAATCTTTTAAAACTAGAGTGAAGTAACTAAGTTTTCCTAATATTGTCGTATCAAAATGGATGAGAATAAGTAATATCATAACTTGACATATTATTGCAGTACACATTATCTTCTCTAAAATATGCTATTTCTGTTTTACCAGCCTCCACTTCTTCTGTACTAAATCTAAAGTTAGTGGAGTTTCATAATTTATGCCTGGATCACTGAATTATTTCAAATTTGTCATCCAATTAATTATATGTCTAAAAACATCTTCGTGATGAAGATTTACCCATGTGACTATCATGTAGTATGGATGTAAGATTGTTTACCCTGGTTCAGTCTATCATCAGATCAATAACTTTCATCCAAAGTGACAAGATCATTGGTTTAGTTTTCATTGTAGCTGATGTATTATATAATTAGGGTTAATCTGTAACTAACTTCAGGAAAATTCATGTTTTATCAGTCATATAATGCCTTTTTATTCTTCACAGAATCAGTTAGTTGTTAGAAAATACCCATTTTTAGTGTTTATTTGAATAGTTACGTACCATACAGCACCTGCTTTTACAACTTACATATGTTGTGGAAAACATTGTAATTACATGTTACACACGTTGTAGAAAAACATTGTAATTACATCTTACACACGTTGTAGAAAAACGTTGTAATTACATCTTACACACGTTGTAGAAAAACGTTGTAATTACATCTTACACACGTTGTAGAAAAACATTGTAATTACATCTTACACATGTTGTAGAAAACATTGTAATTACATCTTACACATGAAGAAAACATTGTAATTACATCTTACACATGTTGTAGAAAACATTGTAATTACATCTTACACGTTGTAGAAAAACATTGTAATTACATCTTACACACGTTGTAGAAAAACATTGTAATTAGATCTTACACATGTTGTAGAAAAACATTGTAATTACATCTTACACACGTTGTAGAAAACATTGTAATTACATCTTACACACGTAGAAAACATTGTATTTAGATCTTACACATGTTGTAGAAAACATTGTGATGACATCTTACGTTAGGGATGTACCGGTACTTTCCGTGTAAAAGAGAAAGTATCTCCTATTTTGTTAGCAGTCCCTATGAAAATATTACATTTAACACTGAACACCAGTTCAAACCAGGAACCCTATATTACACTTTTAATGATGTAATACAATCTTAATAATCTTAAGCCTAAGATTACGTGACAGTTTAACTAGTCGTAAATAAACAGGTGAATTATAAACTATCGTCACTCTGTGGATGGAGCCACTAGTTGTCTTGTTCAGTCTCACCAACTTTCTTAAAACTTGTGAGAATAACAAATAATATGAAAAAAAAACAAGGTGACTTAAATTGTTCAACCTGTATCTTAAACTAAAACCTGAACATCACTTCTTGCTGAAAATCCACCAAAAGCATGACAGTTACAAATTTAAATTCTTACTCACAGAAAAATGAAGATAAAAAAAAAAGCACAAAATAGTTTTCAGTTAAAGGTAAGTTTAAAAATAACAATACGATAAAAAAATACTTACCATGCTAAAGATGAAGAAACATTGCAAACTTCGGATATTGGTTCCATAATGAAGTCCTTTAATTTATGTTCCTCTGAACAAACAAATATCCTCGTGTAGCCTTTCAACAAACACAGTCCTCTGCACATGAGCACAAAAAAAGGGAGATCCATCTATTGCCATTTTGTTCAAGCACTTAGGAAATTACCTTGTCTGGTAGTTACATTTGTATAGAAATCTTTAGTAATCAAAATGATATAACAATTTTTAAGGCAAATGTTTTGACATTTTGGTTTCGAACAATACAATATGGTTTACATGTTGTTAAGCACAGAAGTGAACACTGGGCTATCTGTGTTGTGTCCACCTCAGGAATCAAACCCTGTTATTTTAGCATTACAAGCTCTCTGGCTTACTAATGAGTCATTGGAAGGTGAAAGTAACATGACTGATGCTTTGTAACCTGTTGAAAGTTAATTGTTCTAAAGTAAGACTAATTAGTTATATCGGGGAGAAGCAAACCAGAAAATCTAAGTGTTCTTAAATAAAGTGCAGTGCAGATTAAATCCCTTCCTTTACAGTATGTTCATATGAAGGGACTACAGACACTTAAAATATAGAGTGGAATTGGTTCACATCTCAATCTCCGTTTGGATCTGACACATACAACCATCTCTGAAGAAAGCTCTTACATCAAAGCTAAACAAAAAAGTAATTTTAATTAATTAAAATTTTCGTTTTCTCTTAAATGCTAAGTAAAGTTTTTTTTTCCTATTGATAATAATGATTGTTTACCAAACAGAAGTGTTTTATCTGAAAAAATACACATTAGATTCAGAGAAGACATGGAACACATTAGCTCATTGTTATCAGAGAAGACATGGAACACATTGGCTCATTGTTATCAGAGAAGACATGGAACACATTGGCTCATTGTTATCAGAGAAGACATTGAACACATTGGCTCACTGTTATCAGAGAAGACTGAACACATTGGCTCATTGTTATCAGAGAAGACATGGAACACTAAGGCTCTTTGTTATCCATATTTATCAGAGAAGATGTTATGGCTCATTATCCAAACTTATTGAGGTTGAAGAAACGCCCTGTCCACAAGCTGTTGTCCTCTAGCAAATAAGCAGGAAGTTTACGGACACTAAAATGTGAGGTTTGATTCTCTGTAGTGGTCACAATGCAGATAGTGTAGGTGTGTACTAAGATGACAATAACAACCACACACTAGTAAAATAAACAAGTAATACAAATACATCAGATTTACTGAGACCTAGCAAATTCCTCTGTTGAAACAATTCGATGGGAATTTTTCTAAAAATATTGATGAATAAATATAAAAATGTGCAGTTAGACCAGTCCCTTAGACCGTATATACAATGGGTGCATCCAGCACAATAGAGAGCTCAACTTTGCTAAGTAGCTGCAGACATTTGTTGCACTGAATGCCAATGTTCTTGATAAGTTTTTTTTCTCAAATTCATTGTTCAACACATACGGAAACTGATGGTTCGATATTGATATCAATATGAAATTTTAGGCATTGCAAAAAGTAATGATTTTCCTGTAATGTATGCTTGAAAATCAGCATTATGCTGTGTGGGTGTGCATATATGTATATGTAAACATTTCAAGAAAACGTTGCCAAGTTAATATATTATTACCATAGTTTTTAAAGGTGTTTTTTTCTCTAAAATTCTAATTTATATATATATATAGACACACACAATATTTTTTTCTATCAATAACATATATATATACATGTTTTCTCCACAGACAGTGGAATGGTGGGCTATAATTAGTGACAGGTTTCTTGTTTCACACTTCTCTTCATTATTGGAACAAATAATTATTAGTTAAATCCTGGACTGTTGCTGTTTTAAAGTTTCTTTTACTGAGTAACTGTTGTTTGTTTTAGGGACAGAGAACAACGTGGCTTTCACCATCTTCACAACATAGACCGAACCAGAAAAAGAGAGAGCCATGGCAGAAGTAATCGTGGAGAACCAAGAGAGGTGAGAGAAGCTTCTAGATCTCCAGTTCAAATAAGTAAACATAACATCAAGCCTACAAATAATTTTACCACCCCAAAAGCAGATGTTAAAATTAAAGAAGAGAAACGAGAAGACTCTCTATCGCCAAGTTCTAGCTCTGGAGCAACAACTTCTATTGTTTCAGAACATCAAACAGTGGAAATTACTGAATCTCAAACTTCAAATAATTACTTGCCTCAAAATGTGCCTCATCATCCTCATTTCGGTGCCATAAGTAAAATAGAACCTAATATTGGATCAGCGTCTGGATCCCATCTGGAACAACTGCCACTTCCCTTTACATCATCATTCAAATCAACAGTTTCTATGACCAACAGTGCAACTGTTGATACTCGGGATCCGTACAGACTGTTAGATTATTCCCAAGTTTCGGGTTGTGGCCGTGATCAGATCTTCCAGCGTTATTCCTCCCTACATCCTGTGATGCCTTTCTTGCCCTACGATCCATTTCACGAGACTGAACACGCTCGGCACCTTCTGAATGGTTTGCACGTACCAGATATTGCTTCTCAAGTAGAGAGGGGCAAACTTCATCCGAGCATCCTCAGACAAAACGATTCCTCGTTTCTTTATGCATCTCCTGGAATGCTTCCCTTCGTGCCAACAGGTAGCTTATATCCTCCACCAAAGAGTCCTTTCTTAAGTAGCATAACCGACAGTGTGACAACAGTTAAAAATAGAAACAGTTCGCCAGGAAATCCTCCCAGCTCCATTCCACCTCCTCCACTGATTCCTTTAGAAAATGATATCGTTCAGAATCAGCATAGGAGTAGAGACCCTTCTCCTGTAATCCACTCAACATTGACAACCAGCCCATCAGTCCTATTAGAGAATTCTCGCAAAGATTTATATGGGAGAGAGAAATGTGAACTGAGATTGCAGCCTAAAGAAGCAGACTCCCAGTCTAGGTAACAGCACAAAAAATGTACATGCACCGTCAGGAGCACATCTGTTCTCACAATGTTTGTGATGACCTATTCTGAAAACAATGCAATCTTTGTACATACCATATTGTTTAGGCTCTCTGTAGCTAGTTTGACTTTCATACCACAAGTGAATGTGTTGTTGCATTATGTTCTTCAACTTACCAGATGTTTCTTGTCATACGTACCATTGCCTACTGCCAGATGGTTCCTTCACATTTTGATTTTATTTTTGTTTACCATCTCCGAGAAATTTGTTGAACAATTGAATAAAATGAAAACATTGTTGCCTCATCATTGCAAAGTTTGATAACGTTGTTGGTTGGTCATGTTAAAGATTAGAGCACCTGCTTATGTTGTGAGTGTGACAGTGATAAACCCATGTAGCACAGCCAATGTAAAACATCCAAGTAAAGAGTGATTAATGTTCACTTGTTTCATAACTTTGCTTTATCACTTTTACTGTAAATCACCTGTGGGTTTGATAGAATTAGGATGCTATTGAGTGTGTTATTCAAAAAAGTTTCTAACTTGAGTTTGTTGCCTTTTTTTTCCTTTTATCAAAGAAAAGCTTATTATAGTGAAATTCCACCTGGTGTTTATTTATAAAACGTTTTATGTAAAACACGGTGAAATTCCACCTGGTGTTTATTTATAAAACATTTTATGTAAAACACGGTGAAATTCCACCTGGTGTTTATTTATAAAACGTTTTATGTAAAACACGGTGAAATTCCACCTGGTGTTTATTTATAAAACATTTTATATAAAATACGGTGAAATTCCACCTGGTGTTTATTTATAAAACATTTTATGTAAAACACAGTGATATTTTACCTGGTGTTTATTTATAAAACATTTTATGTAAAACACGGTGATATTCCACCTGGTGTTTATTTATAAAACATTTTATATAAAACACGGTGAAATTTCACCTGGTGTTTATTTATAAAACATTTTATATAAAACACGGTGAAATTCCACCTGGTGTTTATTTATAAAACAGATTTTATATAAAACGTGTTGTCCAAGGATCATTTTCTTAACATTAGAATCCAAAATGGAGACACCAGTCAATAAATTGTACAGTGAAAAAATGTTTTTATTCAGTGTATACGTAAAATAAAATTCTTTGAAAGAGTGACCAGTTACATTTTTATTTTGTTCAATCAATTGTGTAACATTGATAGCTACGAATATCATCTTTAAATACTTCTAAATAAGAAAGCCGAAACACATACAAACAAGAATTAAGGAAAGCCTAAACACATATTAAAATAGAGGAAAATCCAAATAACATCTGTTCTATGAACATGGTAAGGCTGGTAATAAGTACAACCTTATTTTTTTTTAACTTTTGAAGTATTTGTTTAATTGTTTTAAATATCGGGGATGCCAGAAAATTTTGAGGCTTAATCGTAAAATACCGGACAAGAATAGTACAATATTATGCGGCTTAAACTTAAGATGTCATACAAGAATGTCAGTGGACTTAGTGACTTACCTTAAACTATTAGCCAGAAATTCAACAAAATGTCGTGACATATCCTAAAATAATGGTGCTTGACGAGTTTTCACAAAATTGTGAATTGGTAAGATGATACTCTCTTTGTAAGTTAGATTTTTTTAAAAACTACCTTCGAATGTAAATAAACAAATATATATGCTTAGGTTTTTGTTACAATGAAAGTTATTATATAATAGCAATAGTTTTCATTGTAAATAAATGATTAGATATGTTAAGGGTTGTTTGATGTTCCACCTACTATGAAGATTACCATATAATAGCTTACTTTTATAGTTTGTATATATATAGTAAATAAATGATTAGATATGTTAAGGGTTGTTTGATGTTCCACCTACTATGAAGATTACCATATAATAGCTTACTTTTATAGTTTGTATATATATATAGTAAGTAAATGTATGATTGTGTTATGTTGGACTAAGGATTCTTCTACAGTAGGTGCCTGTGACTTGTTGGCGATGAATTCAAAAATTAATTAACAGCACTCTCTCCACTTGTGTTCAAAATAATATATATTCGGAATGTATGTACAACAAATTCTTTGCACTACAGAGATCATAGGCATATCATGAACACTATATAGTTCTCTTCTTCTTGTCAAAAGTCCACTTAGGCCTATGCAATTGCTTTAGAATTTCAGTTGACAAGCTGAACTATTTTTCTCTATTACTATCGCCAAACCCTCCGAGTATAGTTCACTTTATCGTTGAGTTACCACAATTGTGTCCTATACTTCTCAAATCACCTGCTCCTTTCTTTCTCTTTGTATTTCCGAGAATCGTCTGTCTGTTTGTCCAAGTCCACTGAGGCTAGTTTAATTACTTTAGAACTCTCTTTAACGAAATAAACTATTCTTCTTATCCCTTCCAACACCGTTAGTCTCACTGGAATATAACCCTTAGGCCTTCCACTCCTACGACGATTATATTTGCGTTTAATTTTTCTTTGAGAAAATTCCTTCTCGTAACTTTACTTAACTTGTATTCTGCTGTCTGTTTACTTTCCTGCTCGTCTCACACTATTTATATGTTTATTACTTAATCGTCTGCTCGATATATCCTCGACATCAATAAATTTTTCACGACGTTCGATAATCTCAACATCAATGAGTTACAAATATAAACTCCTACCGAGTTATGTAACTAAACTTGTCATAACATTTAATTTAAAATAATTGCTCCCAACTCTCTTGTTGTGAACAAAACTAAACAATCATAAAATAAATAATATCTACACTAAACAGTCTTTTATATCATGACACTTTCATTATAGGTAATCTCACTTATTTGTAAACAAATCAAAAAGTATCGTACTTTAATTAATGGAAAACTTATTACCTTAGATATACCATCATCGAAATAAACCAGGCTCAATCTCCCCATCACGGCAACTATCAGAAAAGGCGTAAAAACACTAGGTCCAGAACAGAAGTGTTACTGCTACTACTATTACGTGATGTAAAAACACTAGGTCCAGGACAGAAGTGTTACTACTACTACTACATGATGTAAAAACACTAGGTCCAGGACAGAAGTGTTACTATTACTACATGATGTAAAAACACTAGGTGTAGGACAAAGTGTTGCTAGTACTACTACGTGATGTAAAAACACTAGGTCCAGGACAGAATTGTTACTACTACTACATGATGTAAAAACACTAGGTGTAGGACAAAGTGTTACTAGTACTACTACGTGATGTAAAAACACTGGGTGTATAATTAATTGATATTTATGTGTTGCTTCGTGTTAATTTCGCGGTATTCACGATTTCTTTTCCCACACAAATTTATATTATAAAGTTTGGTTTAACTACTGGAAGCCCCCCCCACAGTGGCACAGCGGACTTACAACACTAGAAACCGGGTTTTGATACCCGTGGTGGACAGAGCACAGATAGCCCATTGTGTACATTTGCGCTTGACTACAAACAAACTACCGGAAGTGGTTTTGGGTGTGAATTTCAACATGGCTTAATGAATATAAATTATTATAAAAGCATGTCTCTCTCCCTCACACGCTTTATCGAGGTGATAATATATTTTCGTATCCATGTCTTTTCTCTCCACAGTTTCTTGTCCCTGTGGCAGAGTTCAAATGATGTCTATAATAGACTGTATACTCTTTTAACTTGGTAAGCCAACTGAATATTATCATTACAAACCCCCCGTTTTAAAATTAAGTTCGAAATAATAATGCGATCTCGTTATGTTAATATTAATTATATTGTAAAATAATGCAACCTCCCGTGTTACAACATTGTTACCAGAACTGTAATAAAACTAGCTGTGGGTAGGTCAGCTGCAACATTGCTATCAGCACTGTACAAACAATAGTAGCTGCAAGTTTATCAGATGTTACTGAAAACCTCCAGTAAATTCGCCATCTTTTTTTTAAAGGTATGTTGATACATAATTCTATGAGTAAACCACTAAAGTTTTCCCATCTGTTTCTTACTGAATCCTGAGATTAGTGTTTTCTGTCAATAAATGTAATTCCCGTTTAACTATTTTCTTTGTTTTATCTGAAACTTTACCACGTAACAATTATGCAGTTTCTCAGTTTTGTCTGTACGCATTTTTAATTATCATAAGCTTTAATGTTTATTAACCTATTTTTCTTGGTCTTAATTCGTGTGTCATTTTGTGATGCCATTTTTGGTTTTTATATTCAGTAATCAAAGTTCATACAAACTAGGTAGTTTCGGGACGTTGTTTATTCTTAAATGTAACATAAACTTTTTTATTCAACAAATTGAAATTCGAAGTTCGGTTGCGTCTCGAGATTTATTTATATCAAAAATTGAATATATTGCTTGTTGGGTGTAACTAACTCTTGAAAAATATAAATCATAAGTAACTTTAGTGATACAGATTTAGATTTTTATCCTATATGAACGAATACGAGATCAATTTTACACCCACTTTAACAGTATCAATTTCAAAACAGCCTTTACAGATAACGGCCATTTTCAGCTTTGTTTCTCTGTGAATGTCTTAAAATCTCGAAAATTTGATATTTATGTGACAGGTCAACACGTTAGGGTGAGTTATGGGGACGTTTTGATTTGGCGTCATTACTAGCACGAACATCGAGTGTCTCGCCAGTTGGACAAGGACTTGCTTCTTGTAGCGAGGTACATTCCAGCTTTGCTTCGTCAAAGATGGTATCGTTCATGCAGTAGAAGCTGTAGTGAGAAAACAGTTGCCGTCCATCCCTTGAGGTGTAAGGCTTACAGATGTGGTAAATCTTACAAGCTGCATTCGGGTCAATGTAGTAGCCGTACTCTCTGCCCTGACAAGTGAATGGGGTAGAAACAGGGCCTAGCACGAGGTTGGTGTTGTCCGGAAGAGGCAATGTCAAAATCGTATCCTCTGCTGCTAATAGCGTAGCTGTAGCTAGAATCATCGCAAATGTTGAAACCAGACCTGAAGCCATCTGAGTAACAGAGAAACACCAAATTATAGTACAGTTTTTGATGTAAAATATTTATTATTGAAACTTTTTGTTTCTACAAGAGAAAACGACTGATTTTTTCTTGTGGTGGCGCTAACTACTAGATGCCTCAGCATTAAATACGAAATCCTTTAATATCTGGTTATTAATTACCGGAAACGACCTCCAGATTGTTACTGGAAAGATGGTTGTGATGTTCTTCATTACACATTTATTAGCCGAGTATTTGAATAAGGAACAACTGGTCTTTCCAACCTGGACACATGAGCTAGGTTCGGGTATAACTACACCTAATTATCACTTACTGACAGAGGAAGGGCAGCCAGCCGCCACAAGGGAACAGATCATACCCACAGCTGAAAGTAAGAAGAATATTCAGCGACATTAGGTCTCGAGCCTTGGCTTCTTCGTAACGAAGCCCGGTACGCTAACCACTGGGTCACACCCAACCATAGTTGAGGAAGCCCGAAAGGAATTGAATTACTAATAATTTTACATTGGCTAAATCAGTCATTGTACCTATAACTGAAATATCATGACTAATTTATTTAATTAACCTATTATTAATAAGAACTTGTTTTATAAAAACAGTTTGTTATATGAAAAAAAAATTCAAACAAACAAATGTAATATTAGATTATAACCTGCATTCCTCTGACAACCTCTACCAAACGTTGGTTGCTATGATACAGAATTTCTGAGTAAACCAAAGAGTGATGGTCACTAGGATACAGAATATGGATTTCTAAGTAAACCTTGACTTAAAAACTAGGAACAGACGCCTTTTTTCTTTTGACAGCAGGATGAGTATGCGCAAAGAGTGACAATTTCAAT